GCACTTGATCAAAAAACACGAACTTCACCAGAAACAACCTTAGAACTTGCGCCCATCCTTGTAATCAATTTAAAACACCAAAATAGTTACAGTTACTCGTATTCAGATACATCTTTCCAAATACATAAAGAGCTATATATGGATCGATACTTGCCAGAGAATAAGAAAAATATAGAAGAAAAATGGAATCAAGTTGAAAAGTTGAAGATAGAACTCGAGAGGACTAGTCATCAAATTGACAAAATTATGAAATTTCAGGTATTAGGAGTTTTAATCATGGTCACAATAGTTCAATACTGATAATATATTATTTTCGTTACCAGGGAAAACATAGTGGTACTGAACTACTCAAAGGTTCTATCGAACATTTTAGATGGAAATGTAGTAGGGCCAAAGAGAAAGGTGAATCGTATGATGATGCGGAACGAACATTGATGTGGTTAATGAATGTCCAGGAAAGGGTAGAACGAAAGTTCAATGGTAATTTGCTCTACGCTTTTTTTTTTTTTTTTACTCGAATCATTATTCTGAAATGTTCATGTTTCTTACGTGATTGTAGCTCTTCTTGAAAAAAAAGTTGATCACGAACAGAACATCAAGAAAATATTTGACACGCAAGACATGAAGAAGTGTCTTTATCGTCTTAAAGCGGTTTTGGTTCGTGAAGGGCAAACACATTGGGCTTACATATGGGTTCCAAGAGATGGGAAAGGTGATGGCCATTACACTAGTACATTTGATGACGGTAGCTGGATGAAATTTCACGATACAAATGTGGAAAAGGTATATATGTCTATGTACAAAACTTCATATTTCTGGTTCTAATTCTTTCCGAACCCTCCTTATCCTCCAGGTTTATGATGATTTAGTGCTCAACGAGACCGTCAACAATTATCATTCAAATAATACCATTTACGCACTCATCTATGTCGATCATAAATATGATCATAATTATACTAATATCACGGATGTGATTCCTGCTTCTCTCAAGGTTAACATGTTTATTCATCCAATTCTAAATTTTGTCAATTAAATAACTTTTTTTTTCTCTATTAGGAGTTTGTAAACAGGGATAATCGTTTGTTCGAGGATGAATTACAAAGTCAACATAGAAGTCAAGAGGATATATCTGAGAGTACTGTGGACATCGACCATCGCACATGGGGTTCAGACTCTACAACATATGGAACATCGGATTTTGATTACCTTCCGGAACAAGCACGCAATACCAAAAGCTATCAATCCATCATGCTTAAAAGGTACAGGATAAAATTAATATGTTTATAATTAATTCTTTAGGCAATAACCTGCCTTTTGACATTTCAAGGATAGAGCTATTTGGTTTCAAACTCGGTCAGATTGATGTTGTAAAATCACTATTGGAAGATTATAAAGATGTAAGGAAATTTCGATTGATTTATCTAATCAAATCACACTCACTAACATTACGTATGGCGTAGCCATCTGTTAATTCATTGGATTGGAGTGAACCAATTCCCCTTCAATCCGGTTACCGCGGGAAAGCTAAATATTCCGCAATGGTTACAGCCTACGACAGCTTTAAGCATACAACTTTTTATATCATGGAAGGGTTGGAACAATCTTTTCAAGACCAATATAAACAAGGACTGGGATATTTATATCAGGCGTTGGAACTGGAGAGATCGTGGGTTAACGATTGTGAACGTAACGGGTTTAATGGAACAAATTTGGACCGCACAATATTCATTAACACATTTGCAAAAGCTTTTCTAAAGGTTGAATGCAACACAATACTATTGATTCCTTTGCAAGAAGTTTATATTCTATTAACTAAATAGTGAATCATTTTACTTCGACAATTAGATTCTTAACGACGGTTCTTTGGAAAAAGCTAAAGATCCCAAGTCTTTTCCTGAAGGAGTTGAAAACGCGCTTAGTGTATTGAAGATCTGTATAAGTTTTAAATTCATACGTGATGGATTTTTAAATGGATTGACAGAGGGATGGGTCAATCTTAAGAAAAATATTGAGGAGAAAGATACTTATGACCGTGCTACCTTTGAGAAATTATCACAATTAATTTCATCCTACAAATCATCCGAAATTCCTTATGGCCTTGATATCAAATTCAGTTTTGATAGTTTGTTAGAAAATCTCGAGCCACCTAAACTTATTGATGATGATTCATTGGCTCAACGCTACACTGAATGTTTAAAGAAATGCAAGACTCAATTCAAAGATGTTGCACAAGCAATCGAATTGATTTGAGGGCAGTTGAGTTTTGCGTGTTTAGCACGAATGATTAATTTGTATAACAGAAATTAAAAAATTTGTATCTTCGAGAAATCAAAGAGTATTAAAATAGATTTTACACATATTGATAAAGCTAATCCTCGGTGTTCATGAAGTTTGAATTCTATTTGCATTTTAAAAAATTATGACCTTTTGGTTTCGTGTCTTAATAAAACACTATTATTTTATTAAACACATTTTGATTACAAAGATTCATTGGGGAATCTTTGCCGTATCTTGGGATATTTATGAGAGATTATCTCTAGGACAATGGACTGTTCTATATAATTTCTAATTCCTTTTAAAAACTACCACTCGGATATGGATCAAACGGATTTTGATCACAGTATCAAGAAAAAAACAATTAAAAAAAAAGAAAAAAAAAGAAAAAAAAGAAATTAAATGACAAATTTTAAAGATTTACTAAAATAAAATTAATTAAAAGAAAAGAAAAATAAAAAAAATAAAAATAAAACAAAAGATAATAAATAACTTAATTATATAAGCAATTTTTTGTTATATTTAAATTATTTTATTTTATTATTATATTTTAATAATTTTTTATTAATTATAATATGAATAATAGCAAAATTTTATCAATAGTTTTGTTATAATAAGCTATAATTAATTTATTTATATAAAGATTATTAATATAATAATATTAAATACTTATTTAAATAAAGTTTTATATTTAATATCTGTTTGCTATTAAAATAATAATAATAATAAAATTAAATATTAAAATATATACGTATACAAAAATTTATCAAATTTTTAAACTTAAATTATATTAAATTATAACTAAGTTAAAAATATATCAAATAATTGTATTTTATTTATTAAATTTATTATTAAATATTATTATATTATAATCAAATTATTGATAATATTTATCAAATAATTATATAAATTTAATATTGAGTAGTATCAAATAACATAAATTTGGCTTGAATTTAAATATAGAAATATATATAATCCAACAATAATTTTATATATCAAATAATTAAATTTCGACTAGTAAAACTATATAGATATTTTAAAATAATAAAATTTTTATATAATTGTTATTATTTTAATTTAAAAAAAAGTATTATTTTATGTTTCTAGTTTAATATCTATAGGAAGCAAAATATAAAAATTATTTTTTATTTGTGAATTTATCAATTTTTCTATAAATGTTTTACTCAAAATATCCAAATTATAATCAAATTTAGTTAGATTGTATAAAGATAAAATCTTTGGTTTTTTTAATAATAATAAACTAAAAACAAGTCAAAGTATAAAAGATTGTATAAGAAAAGGCTTCTGGTTTAACTTTGGTAAAAATCTATAATCCTTTTATTCAGGTTAATTGACTTTTTGAATAAGTTATATTCAATTAACTAATACTTCAAAACTGGATTAACAAATTTCAAAAAATTGAATTTTTATTATTCTGCTTAATATTAATGCAATTCAAATTAATAACTTATTTATAATAAAGAGTTAAATTATTAAAAAAAAAAAGAAAATCATTAGAAAGATTTTTTAACTATTGAACAGGATTTTTCTTACCCTATATTTACAAGCAGAAAAATATAACATAAACCTGAATATGAATTACCCATGAGGTGTAAATTGATATTTGAATAAAAATGAATGGGTAACATCAGTCTTTCGTAAAAAAAAAAACCAGTAAGTGCTTCTCTCCATGGTTATTATATGAACAGTTTATTTTTTTTTTAAAAAAAAAAAAAGCATTATTTTCATTTCCATTATACTTGAAAAATTTTTTAAACTTGTTGAAAAGTGTTCTATTAACTTTAGCACTAGCATAGAAATCATGTGGTTTATCACATAATTGTATTATTATTATTTTTATAAAGATGATTAATAGACGTATATCTATTAATAATAATTTGACACGATTGTAAGCTAGAAAAAAAATAAAATTACATAACCATTTACGCTGATGCACGTTTTTTTTTCTACACTTGTAACTGTTTGTCATGGAATTATCAAAGTTCATATGGTCTTTATTATTAACCTTGCCGTTGGTTGCCATCGCAGCAAGTAATTAAGTTTTTTTATTGGAACTTACTTCCCGATATGCCCGAGTTTTAAAATGCTATCATTTTCGAAATCTCAAAGTTTTCCTAAGTTTATTCAAAAATCGAACAAAGAAAAATACATTCCTTATATTAGGATTAAGCGACTCGGGAAAAACCTCATTATTCCTTAAGGTATTCGAATTATTCAATCATTTAAATCGGTAAAGAAAAGAACATTTCGTTCAATTTCAAGAGTTCACTCACATTTCTAGTTACGTTATGGGAAACTCGCGCAAACGCATACTTCCATGAAAGAAAACGAGGGATATATCACGATCGGAAATGATGTATATAACCAATTATTGTATAATTTCTAAAATTTTCATTCTCGTAAATATTTACGGATTCTTGCACATCTATTTTTTTTTCAAATCAATCCTTAGGGCGAAAAATTAACCAAAGAATCTGTTCATATTGTAGATGTACCAGGGCATGAAAAATTGAGATTTAAATTTTCAGACTTTGTGCCCATCACACGAGGGATCATTTTTCTGATTGATAGTTCAAATTGTGTTAAGAACGTAAGGTCAATTGCAGAGTAAGTGATTTTAACATCATCTTATTTCTTTTTGACATTACAAACCTTGACGATTATATTTATTTTTTATAGGTATATATATGATATACTTTCAAATAAGGAAGTCATCAGGCAAAGAATTCATGCATTAATCGCATGTAATAAAAGTGATATGATCACTGCATTACCACCTGATCGCATAAAAACGATGTTAGAGAATGAAATGTAAGTACTTATGTTCCGAATGAACGTTCTCTCATCAATCGTGTAATTATAAAACGCTTAAAAAATATATTAGAAATCGGTTACGTTTGACCCGTACCGCTGCACTTGATCATCAAGATTCATCTGAGGATGTTGAATTTTTGGGTTATGAATCTGAGGATTTTAGATTTGAGCATTTGGAAAACGAAATTCAGTTTGAAAAATGCTCTATCGAGAAAGGCGAAATTTTAGAAATTAGAAATTGGATCGCAGAATCGCTTCAGTCTGGAAAATAATTCTTAATTATCAAATGATAGGTTATTTTCATTTTGTAAAAAGGTTTTGGTTCACTCTACCCAACTTATACAAACTTCTAATTATGTATTAGAACGATCAATGTCTAAGTATTACTAAATACTTGTTTATAATAAACAAAGTCTTGAGGATATAAAAAGAGATCGATAATTTAGTTAATACATTAATTTATCATAACTTCATCTTCCGTACTCATGTAGCCATATGCGATTTCTGATGAATCTCCTGTATAAGCCGTTGTATTCACCGCATTTAGAGGCGGATCGCCAATATAAGTTGTTGGATTGTTAGAAAGAATAGCATCATTTGTAAACGATGGATTACTCACGAAGTTTTGATCTCCATTCAAACCTACTACCTCCACTGGATTTAAATATCCTTGTAATTCACCTTCAACAATTCCA